TTGAAATAGCTAGCACACTGAGCCTCACAACTTGTCTGTAAAATAAAATGAATGCCTCGGCTCTGATGGGCAACAGAGATATAAAGGGATAAAAAGTCCATACTAGAGAATTCTAAAAATATCTGTCAGCTTTTCGGTCTTGCTACGTCAACTTATGAAATCACCTGATGAGTTATGAATATTGTGTCTCTAGATTTATGAGCTAAAACTTTTCCCCGAGGGGATATCTGGCAGACCCTTGGGAAATTAAAAATAAATAGCTCAATTTTTCTTTAAGAAAATAAGCACTTCTGATACTATTTTGCAGCAATGATACTGTTTAGAAGCCGATCAAAAATAAATAGCTCACTTTTTCTTTAAGAAAGTTTGAAGTTACTAACAGTTCTATCCCCCAGGACGTGCCTAATACCCCCTCCCCCACCCCCCCATTGAGAGTACCAATGTCTGGAGTACAATAACAGCAACATAAACAGTAAAATATTATTTTACAGGTGAAATAGAATACATATTTATCTGAAACTTTCACATAAATCACAGTTTGAGTGGACAAACTTCTGTCAAGCAATTATCAGATTTAATTACACAAATGACAATAAATCAGACGATTGATGCTAGGTAATCTAAAAAACGTTTTTGCTTTTGAGTCACTGTTGAAGATAACACACCAAAATATCCACATAAAATATGAAAACAGGGCTTCCATTTGACTAAACTAATCTGTAATTATAATTTATTTAAATCTCCACTTCATGGTTAAATCTATTTAAACCTTTGCCTTGGATCAAAGTTAAAATATCTGTACAAAACACTGTAACTTTGAATTTGAACAACCAACACAACAAATAAGATGGGTTTAACCAAAATACCGGGATTTGTTCAGATGGACCTACACTGTGCAACACTTCTAACGCAAAACTGACAGATCCAATAGCTGACAAAAGCTATTTCACTTATGCAACTCAACAAATTTGTCAATGGCATGGCTATTGAGGTTACCTGCACAAAAAAGCTTTCCCTCATTGTCCGACTCAACTTGCGAACTTGCAACCTCTGGGTCAAACAAACGCGCCCCACAGCCTTGAATATCCACCACCATTATTTCCTTCTTTGACTTCTCATAGCTATAGTGTGCCAAACATTCTGCCTTTTCCGTAAGGTTCTTGTTCTTTCCACATATTGTTCCATCATTATTGATGTACTTGTCAAACGTGCCACTAACAAATTCTTCGACGGTAACGTACTCATCCCTATTTCTAATATATCCAAGCATAACTTTGTTGTAAGACAAGGTATCTCCAAACAAAATTAAATTGTCTTCTTTCTCAAGATCAGTGTGTAACTGGGCTGCAAAGTTTCTAGCTAAATAGTGCAGTTGAACTGATTTCTTTGTGTGTTGTTCTGGAGTCTGTCCAAGAGTTCTCATATCTTCCAAAGACTTGTCGAGGTAGTGCTTCACAACCCAGGTAGTGTACGAGTACTCTTTGTGTTTGCTTGTGGCCTTGAAAGCTTCCCTGAATCCGCCCGCTCCAAAAGCTGTCTCTTCCATGTTAAAGTCGACGAGAACTGGGGACGCTGACCAAGCCATAGCTTGAAAGTCAAAATTGTAAATCTCTATAGCTGTTGTTGTACGCTTGATTTGGTTGCCAAGTTTTAACATGTCAACGACGGAGAGGCTCTTAGGGATGAATCTGCTTTCAGGAGATACTTTTTCTGGTCGTATACCACAGGGATGACTGGTAGACACAATTTCCACGCCAGCAGTAGCCCTCCGAGCTGGTGGTGCTCGTACTGGGCTTGAACGTGCAACAGGCCTTGAGCGTTTGGTTTCCGGTTCGCCTTCGCCATCCGACCTCTAACCTCACGTGAATAACTTTAAAATCGGGAATTTGTTTCACAGAGAAGCAGGAAGGCCCTTGTTCGCCTGCGAGGACATCACAGCATAAAATACCATCTTCAGGAATCCCGAAGTGCTTCATGCAAGCACTCTTTATATTCTCGATCGTGTATTCTTCGAATTCATAAGAGACGAATACACGGGCCCCAATGCGGGAGTACTTCTGCAGTTTCCCTGTGACTTCTGCGCTAAGCCTTTGAACTGTGATGGTATCGTCAGGTAGTGCTACTGCACCTTTCCCCTTTGCTTTCTTCTCTTTCCCTGCGACTCTTTTCTCTTTCATTTTCTTTTGAAAGTTACGCCAATCTTTATCACGCTCAGCCGCCATGTTAATCACAGAGTTTGGCGCCACAATTGATATTAGCGAAAAGGATTATGGGATAACATCAGGTGCGAGGAGCATTTTGGGTTATGGCAGTTCTCGGCTTGTCAAGACGAAAAAAAAATTTGAAAAAAAAACGTTCCAGACCCTGAAAAAAATATTCGCCTTAGGGGAAAAAAAAAACAAAACAAAAACAAACAAATGAAAACAAAAACCAAAATAAAAATGAACAGTTTCTAATATGAAAACAAATACTCCTTTTAATATTATCTTTTTAAAAATAATTTGTAGTACTTTCAAAAGTCAAACGAATTCAAGCGTTTTAAAAATAAATTGTCTTTAAAAAATAAAAAATACATCTTTAATATTTTCTTTATAGAAAAAAAATGCAGTAATTTTAAAATTAATCGATTACAAAAGTTGAATTTTCTTGAATTATCAAGAAAATTCCTTATGGCAGTTCTAGGCCACCATAGTCAGGGAATGTTTCTTACGCGTTCACCCTTCTCTCGAAGTTGCCATTGCATCCTGCCGTGTTTTGTTCGAAAAACAGGAATAAAATCGATTTTTCAAACTTTTCTTAATTTCTCCTTTAAAATAGCTCATATACCATAACGGCTAAGCCAATCAAAATGCTAGAATTGCATTATCCAATGATTCAGTTGTTAACAAAAAGGAATAGACTGTATACAATATTATATCCGTCAGGGATAACCGGAATATAACAAAAGCGCTTCGAAACAATCTCAGGTAAGAGCAGATCAAAATACGTTTTGCATTTTTAAATGGTTTTGATTAACCCTCAAAACGTCGAATTTATTTCGTTACACTAAAAGGGGGATTTAACTTCCGGGAAGGGGACTTAAATTCAGTTATATACGATGGATGTTTTTTTTTTTTTAGTGGAGCACCATAGGTAAGAAAATTTGGTTACCTATGCATCCAGGAAATTTTGGTTCTGACAAAATCTTGCGCAAGTAGATACGTCCGTCCGTTCGTCCACCCCTACGTGTAAGCAGAGGTGAAATTTTGCATTTCAAACACCTGCGTGTTTTGGCAGTAAATTGCATGGCCACCCATTCTTAAATTAAATTAAAATTAAATTAATTTTATTTAAGCTCGATAGCGTGAGGAGTGGTTGCCCAATCTCCCGAGCCCGGGGCTCATGTATTAAACGCTCGAGCATTCTGGATCGAATTGGAATTTGGAAATGTTCTTGAAGAGAAAAAATAACAACAAAGCTGTGTCCTTTTTTTTCGACTAAATTTTAATGTCTTCACTTACGTGGATAACAGAGAAAGAGCTGAAGCGAGAGAAAAAATATAAAGAAGACGAGTTTCGTTAGAAGAAAAACATGAAAGCGTTATGGTTATAGTGGCAGTAAGAAGCTAGCGGCCACCAAGATGAAAATGAGTGGCAGTGAAAAAAATAGGCAAGCGGAAACATGCGACATTTCCTCCATAAAACGTGTAACTAGGAAGGTTCACGTTGCAGTCGTGCAAAACAACGGCAAGGAAATGACCAAAAACGTGTGAAGCACGTGCAAAGTTGTTATTTGCTAATTAGAGCTATTGTTTTGTTTTCGTTTTTTTTGTTTCTTTGTTTTTTGCCGTTCACTTTGCCTTGGCCATTAAGCACAGAATTGTATTTTTTGTTTGAATAAGCTATACCTATTTTGTACATTAACGAGAGCTCCGCTTTTAGCCCTAGCTTAATCTATATAATATATATAGATTTAGCCAGAGCTAGAAGCGAAGCTCTCGATAATATTTAAAGTGTGTCCAAACAAAACATAAAATCGTGTAATGCTAAAGGTGATGTTACACGAGACAATTCGCAACGACGATTTTTAGCGCAACACAGCGATGGCAACGCGGGACAACGGTGAAAAACAACAATAGTTCTAATTAGCAAAAAAAGCAACTTTGCACGTGCAGCACACTTTTTTTCTACATTTCTTTCCCGTTGTTTTGCACGACTACAACCTGAAACTTCCAGAAACTTCCTAGTTACACGTTTTTTGGTGGAAATGTCGTACGTGTTCTCGTTCACTTTTTTTTTAACTGTCGCCCATTTTCACCTTGCATTTGTGGCCGCTAGCATTTCTCATATTGTCACCGCCGCTACAACATTTTTTTGTTGTTCTTCAAACAAAAAATACCTCCTTAGTTTGCTTGTTTGTTTGTTTTTTTATCTCTCGCCCTAGATCTCTGTTGCCCTTTTCTTGTTGAGTTTCGCTTGCCTGCCGCCTTCTTTCTCTTTTTCTCTCCCTTTCTCTTGCTCTATATTCCAAATTTGTGGACATGACAATTAATCTAAGCTTAATAATTCAGAAAACACGGATACAGAAACAATTTCCGCTTTCCGTTTTCGTCTTTATTAACTCTTTAGTTGTCTCTGCTTCACAACACGCGGGGGCTATGTGATTTCCCGCGAAAACAACCTCCAGTTGCATTTGGGTTGCCATACCTGTTGATTGAGTTATTTTACATTCAATTTGGTAAGCCTGTGGTGCGGACGGACGGCGGGCGGTCGGTGTACGGTCACGTGATTACCAAATTTTCTGGGATGGGCAGATTTGCTTAGCCATGATGCTCCGCTGGCGAGCGCTTCGCGCGCGAGAGAGCTCCGCTATTACAGGTAGATGGGCCTATAACTTAGAGGGGAGGAGAGGGGGCCCTGTAAGTGAGGGGTTTATAAGCGGCAGTTTACGGTATACGATAAAGCGCAATGTAACAGTATACAGCCACCATAGCGTTCTGTTTGATTGTTCTAGCCCCGTGTACCTGGTACTTTTAATGGTGGGGAAAGGCGGGAGAGCGGAACGAAGGGGAGGTCAAGCGAGCAGTGAAGTCGCGATTGTAGGTGTGTTTTCGTGCCTTCGGATGCTCATTTGCGCGCTGGCCAAACGAAACTTCCATCTATACACTGGCTATGATAGTTCAATAGCGATACTCACGCTGACGTTACCTAGTTAAGTGCCAACCAGAAGCGCATTGGGTCTTGTAACAAAAAAACAACGTTTGTAAACATTGATGTACCCTATATAGCAAAGAAGTTATAACGTTATTTTACAAAAACGTCACACAACTCTGGGATTGGGTCAAATAGAAATCGGTAAAGGCACAATTGCCCAAAAAAATCATCGTGCTAGTGCAGATTGGTGGTGAAATCGTGTTACTATTACGCTCTGATTACTCCAAAAAAAGCTTCTCCAATATGTTTAGATAGTACAAGGATTTGTATCGAGTCATCAGTGCGTAGAGTAGTCTATTTTGCATCATAATGCAGGTGTATATAGCTATTTCCAGAAAGGTTGTAGGCAAAAATGTGCACGGGACAATCCCGAAAGGTAATATGGAATTTGATCAATACGCTGTTCCTGATCCTGTAGCCGTCAAAACTTCTTTTAATTGCTTTCCTTGAGCACGCGCAAACACACGTCCACGGCTTCTTGTGCCATCCTTTCAAATTTCTTTGAAGAACAGCGAACTCAAAACCACCCACAATACCTTTCGTGATTGTCGTGTGCACTTTTTCCGACAACCCGTCTCGAAATAGCTGTACACATTCTTATCGTAAAGACAAGAGTGCACCTCCGAACCTTCAATAACGGACACCTCCCGTCAAAGCAGATACTCCGTCATCCGTGATTGTCCATGCCATATACAGACCATGCAAGTCTGGTCACAGGGGCCGGTCCCCTCACTGCAGGTTTTGCTGTATTACACAAACCTTAACGGTTGTGATTAAGGTGTAGTAATTTAACAACGAAATTCGTGCAATCGTATGTATATGTTGTGATTCAGTTTTATCCCTGGTTAAAGTTTTATTTCCCTTTGTTTTGGGGTATAGTAATGCATGGTAATGAGTTTGGAACCAAGGTGAAGTACAATTTACACCAGGGTTAATATTGAGCCCCATAAATACATCATGATCGGGACCAAGTCGCCCAAAACCATACCGGTCGTGGATAACAAAACAATTATAAAAGCAAGTTTTCTATAAAATGGAACTAAAAAAATAGCTTTATAATCCATAGAAGCAATGGCTCATTCTAATTCATGTGGCGATAAATAGCAAAACGCAAAATGGTTATAGACTTCAGAGGTGTATTAAGCGAACGAAGTCAGTTTAACTTTGGTCTCACGATCAGGCGTTGTTCACCCGCGAAGCACTTGCTGTCAGCACGAAAAATTTGATTTACACCAAATTTATTTAGTGCAAATGTAGTGCAAAAAAGTGCAAACTAAGGTTAAATAAAGGGCAAAGATGGCATGCCGCATTTGCTCATGAATTTACAACCCCCATGTTGAAATAGACCGGTATACAAATGCGCTATTTACCCGTCTTTGCCTTTGATTTCCTCTTCGTTTGCACCCTATTATTTGCCCTAAGCAAATAATTCGTGCATGGTACCTGTTTCCTCGTGTACTTTCCGCTCCCAGCATGAAGAAATTCGCGAAAATATCCTGACAAGACAACTTTTGAAGAGCGAAGTTTATTTAGCGTCCTAACGGTTTTGTCTACAAAGTTACACTGCACAATGAATAATAATTTTAGCGCGATCTACAGCTAATTGGATATCAACAAAGAATGGTCCGTATTGGGAAAAACGATCTGAACAATCGTCGGCTAATTGAATATGCAATAGCGTTTTGCAACAGTACCGTAGCTTTGCTGCTTATTAGAGTGCTAATAATATTAAATGTTTTTTTTCCGTTATAAATACAATCCGATGTTTCCTACGGTGAAACCTGAGTGTATTTTAGCGATCATTTGCTAAGAGTACAGTGTAGGTATTGTTTTAGAGTCTGAAAATTCGTACATTACATTGGTAACATTTTTTTAAATTGACTCCTGAGCTGCAGATGCTTGTATTTACAGACTTCTTTTCACACTCCACAAAAAACAATAGATTATAACATTAACCGATAAGTTTGTCGGTATGATACTCAAGTGATTATGCTGTGCCATAACACTTGAATTTTCCAAGAGTGTGGTAACCTTTCTCATGACTTTCACCTGTATCACCAAACCTGAGCTGTTTTACTGGAAGCGTTGTCTTGTCAGTGAGGAGACCGCTGTCTTCACGCCATACATTGTCATTCGCATCACAGTTGCAGCGCCCGTTTGCTGCACATGAGTTGTTCATCCCGCATGCACACTTGCCACTTCCTGGCGATGCTCCACCCCAATAGGTCATCTTAGTAGAATCACGTGACACCCACCATCCATATGGATTGGCGTAATACCAAAAAACTGAGTGGTGACACTCGTACTTGATAAACTCTTCGCAGTGTAAGGAGACACTGGTGAGACCGGCCAGCTGAGATAGACTCGCTCCTGTGTAATTAATATCACGTGAGTAACTACCTTTATCTTCATATCCATCCACAATAGTCCTGCTCTCACTGTCGTGACTTATGACTGTCACACCAACTCCATTCTTGTTGGTCATGTCACAGTACACTGAGAATGGCTCCAGACCTCCCTCGCCATCTGGATCAATATTGTAATTTCCACTTACTGTTGTAGGGTCTCCCTTCTTTAAATGGCTGCATGATAACCATAACGCAACTACAGAGGGAAGGTGTCCAATTAATTTTAGACTGATAATTTTCACAACATACTGGAGCTTCATTATTCAATATGCCGAGTGCACCGCATAGAAATTGTAAACTGTCAGACGGATGAAGATGACTTTACCATTATTTTTGTAAAAAGGGCAAACCGGGGCGAAGAACATTCTGATTCTGATGCGAATCTTAGCGAACTGGAAAAACGCCCTGGAGACTTTTGAGAATGTATTAAAGTATCCGGGTAACATGTGATTGGCTTTTTTTGAAATCTTTGGGTGAATGGTCCGGTTTTATGAGCTAATGATCTGAGCTTTTCTCAATAAATTCAGGTTAGAAATACACATGAATCTTTAGGAAGTCTTTGGAATTGTTTATGCTCAGTATAGAGCTGTTTTGAGACCTATATTTATGGAGATAACATTGCTGGTCGGGGGGAGGAATTCCGATTCAGCAAGTAAGGTGAGGATACTTAGAAAAACCAAACGGGTGGTGGGTCCTACAAGTTTGTATGGGGGGGAAGGGTATGCCCACTTGAGAAGCTACATCAGGGATGGTTTCCACATTCTGGGCGCACACCGACGAATTGGGAGAACCAACCGTAAAATAGTTATCACTTTCATGCATGAGGTCTTGAATGTGATAGTTGTTCTTCAGAAGCCACTCAAAGGCGTCGGCCAAGAGATTACAGAAGCAAGGGCAAGGGGCAAGGAATGGGATCGCAAGCCGAAGGGGTGGCAAAGATCGATGTAAAAGTTGCCCTGCCACTGGATGCTGAGTGGTTCGCAGTTCTCCGGGCAGACTGGTCAGTGTCGGAAGGCGTATTTGATCAAGTTTGGCCATGAGGGCCGTGATGATGTGCAGCTAGAGAGAGAGCTTGGTGGAAGGTAGCGTAGTGCAAAGTGAAGGCTTCCTTAGGTATGTAATAATAAATTGAAGAACCGAGGAGAGAAGAGATATCAGTGATAAGGCACCAGATGCCACCTTTCTTAGGCACTACCCCGCGGGGGAGCATTGAAAGTTTGGGATTGATGCTGATTTGATTGGTTACGACAAACGAAACTGTCCTAATATATGGGTGTTCGTAAAGTGGGGTTCCACCCCGAATGTTGGAAGTTAAGGGTGGCAACAAAAAATTACAAATAGCACGCTCTTCTGCAAGTTTCAACCCGAAAAAAAACAACAACAAAAAGACTTTAACAGCGTCTTGAAATTAATTGCATTTTCTGCAAAACTTCACTGTCGTCCCGGAGGATCTTCTTGCATTGTTTCATAATACTTGTTTATGTGTGTCATAAACCCTTGTTATAAATAAAAGAATTTTAGCAAATACAAGGTTGTACTGAAGTTAGCAGAACACGTTTTACCTTCGCAGTTTTCACCTCTAAAGTCAGCTGGGCAAACACAAACGTATTTTTTCTCAGTATATCCCATGTAGCATGTTCCGTGGTTCAGACAGGGGCTCGCGGCGCAAGGATTCTAATTTAAAAGAAATGTATGGAAGAATCAACATCTTAGTTTGTTATCATCATCTTCTGTTCTTTTTGATGTATCCATGGAAATTTTCCCGTTAATAATTTCATTTTGGGAAAATGGGACACCAGAAACGTTGCTTCCCCGTGGTTAACAGGCATTTACTCATGGGTATAACGGCTATTGTGAACCAACCTATATTGCATGCATCTCCAGTAGATCCATTAACTTTATAACTGATACCGTTTTAAAATAAAATTCAAGCAAATCGTTACTACATAGTGATAGTGAATTCTTAAAGTTGGGTTGAGCCATTGTACGTCCTACCTGTGTGCCTCTGTAGATCCAGTCTTTTCTTGGTTTGAGATCTTCTGGGTGCCGCAAGTGATCTGAATTACTGAGTTCACAGGTCACTTTTTTGTTGATCGTTGGACCAATATTATATGAAACACACTCCCTGGCAAGGGCGCATTGGTCTTGGCAGTCTAAGTTTAGTTCCACAGAATGATTTGAAAACACGTGTCCTTCGAGGTAAAACCCCCTGGCTGGTGTCAGAAATGTGATGCGTCGGTTGTTTTGACCGCAATTTCCTGAAACACAGATTAATACGTTTGGGCCGAGAGGCACTAATAACGTGTACTCGAACAGGGGTCGGATTAACGAAGCCATCTCTCAGTGATAAGAACTGACAGCCGGGGCTAAGAAAACCTAGAAATTTACCAAATGTTTCGGTTCTTATATCACAATGCATAGTTATAGCCTGAATTTCAGACGATTACTTTGAGTCGTTTTTATTCCCTCAGCAACTTCTTTAAATCAATCTACTGTTAATGCCGTCCAGTGCCGTCACTACTCCTTTGCTTTAATTCACGCAAGAACTGAAACATGATTATCAATTGGCAAACAAAGAAGTATCGTCTGGAAACGTCTAGATACAGAACTGCTTCACAATATTTGATCGCAATCAGGGGCGTAGCGTCCTTTACGCAAATACGCACGTGCGTACTTGAGAAATTGGTAAGATTTTTTAAAAGATTTTCTGTTATTAGTAAAAGCCATTTGTAGTATTGTGACTTGAGTTTGTATTGTGCAGATTTCTTCCTGTCTGTCTCTGTGTTATTCAACATCGTTTTTACACTTAAAATACAACAGTTTCAGTAGTGGAATGTGATAAATTCTAAACATTCTTGAAATGTTTGCCTTCAGGCGATCCCACAATACATTGCGTATACATGAAAATCGGGAAAAAATAGACTGACTGATTATCACTCCTTTTAAGATTTACTTGGAAAGTTTTCCCATCCAAAAGCTTTTCATTTTTTCAGTTTTCTCTCTCCCTCCATAAATGTCGAAAAAAGTCTATCAAAGACTACTTTATAATGTCGCTCAACTGGAAAATCATGGGCAAAACCATGCCGACGATAATCCACGTATAAAGTTGAAGCAAACTACGTTTGGCGCGGTGTCAACAAGAATATTCCATGAAATTTACTCCTAGTGAACAGATGTAGTATTTTTTTCATTTATATTCAGAGCAACTGAAAATAAATAAATGCTGGCTATCAATTGTTTGTTCCTGTCCCGTGCTCATGATCGAAATAAGGGAAAAACGCAAAAAGTCAGCAAAGGGCTAAGCGTGCGGAAATTTACACAAACATGCTCTTAAACTCCACCTATATATCTGCACAAAAAAGTTGCCTCTCCTTGTGCTGGTAATCATTCCTGTACCAGCTAGCTCATGTCAAAGAAAAACGTTTTGAAAGCTTTTTTGATATCATGTTCTATTGTGAACATGCCTGTAAACTGCCAACTGTGTATTTAAGGAAAGCAAAAAACACTATTTTGTACGAGGTTTTTAAAACCATGTAGACCCGTGTGCGTAGTTGTCAAAATGGTCACCCTACGCCCTTGGCAATTCATGGGTGACCTTTAAACTGTCCACTGCATGCAGTACTCTGAACGGATCTGTTGTATATTCAATAATCAAACTCGACCGCAATCACGCAATGAAACAAGAACGCTCTTAGTAGGTGTGTCTCGCTTGCTTGGAGCCCATGGGGCTTGGAGATACGTTTTGTTGTCAAAGGAGCTGGTGCTGTTATGCTACATTTTCGTTTTGAATACAAAGCAAGTACCGTATTTATTCGAATAAGCGCCCAACCTCGAATTAGCGCCCACCTCGAATAAGCGCCCATCTTAAAGGCAGAAAAAGTTAATAAGCGCCCAGCCTCGAATAAGCGCCCACCCCTCCTCGTCCCAATCAAACTCTAATAAGCGTTCACCCCCACCCCACCCACTTGAGTGAATAAATTCTAATAAGAGACTTTCCCGAGGACGGAGTTTTCTTCAGAGTATTTTATAGAAACCTTGCTTTGTTACTTCTTCGCGTTTTGTTAGAGGCATTTATTGTTTTGTTGCCAAAAAAACATACTTCACTTGCTGAAAATGGTGAAAATTTAATAAGCGCCCAGCCTCGAATAAGCGCCCACCTCGAATAAGCTCCCACTCTCAAGGTACAAAAATTTAATAAGCGCCCAGGGCGGTTAATCGAATAAATACGGTATGTTATATGTCATAATGTAAATTTCACAACGTAAACATTGCAAGGAAAGGCAGGCCGTACATCTGAGCTTCACACTGGTGTGAAACCTTTGAAAACTTTTACATATTGATATTGCTCCAGTGAGGGGAACTCTTTTGGGATTTCACACTCAAAAAATTGAACGATGATGTTTATCAGTATAAATATATATATAGCTTTTATGTTGCGGACCAAGATACGGCTCGGTACAGTTTTTGTTCAGTACAGGAAAAATGTGTAAGTTTAGCAGAACCCTATACAACAGACATTTAATTCAGTTCGCGCGTATTCCTGTTGAATTTGTTGTCCGTTTTATAAGATATCAAAATCGCATGAAAGTAATTGCATTTTCCATAGCTGCTTAGTATCTGCTTTTGATATCTCCATACAGCTGATAGTGACGCGAACTCAGAGTAAAATTTTTAGAGCTGTACACAACATGCATTTTGTCACAGTATCACTGGGGTAAAGCGTTTCCTTTTCCACGAAAATTTCACTTTCTCGTCAAAACAATCACTGACTCAGTCAGACTCGGACTAGTTTACCGTATGGTACTTCAATTTAGCCATTGCTCAGTACAGCGAACGGGATTATGTATTGTCAAATTTATCTACAGTCTGCGGCCCACAATGACATCATCACGATCCACGATTTATTTAAAATTTATTTTATTTCAAGTTTTTTTAAAACGATCCTCGATCCCTGATGCCTGATCCCCGATTCTCGATCCTAATTTTCCAGTAAACCTTGAAGTTTTGCTCATTAACTGATGATTAATCTCTTTTGGGCCACTGAAGTAATCACTTGTTCTAAAGTAATCAACGCTTTCAAGCGATAGAGTTCGTGCCCGACCCGTTCCGGAAAAGCTCGATATGGGATTTCTATTCTATGGACATGGAGCGATATGAAGTGCTGCAAGTAGAGTGTGTGATGGTCACGTAAAAAGCTACCCGTCTAAGCACATCTTACGCATACGTAACGTCAGAAGGGTAGCTGAAGTTGCTTGCAGTAGTAGTCGAAGGTTAAGTCATTAATATCTCAAGTATTTATAAGGCCGCAAGGCGACGTCATATCTTGCAACTGCGAAAATCTGTCAATTAATAAAATACATACAACAAAGTGAATCTATTTAACCGTAGAGTTTCAGTAATTGCGACAATATTCTGAAAAACGTAACGCCTCAATACACTACAAAACAGGATTTCCCCGCTACAATATTTCCTCATCGAGGTATTTACTTTTTAATACGCGTGCATAATTACACGAAAATGAAGGGTCTCGAATCGGGGAAAATTGCATCATTGCCAAACAGCTAAAAACGTGATCAACTTACATGCGTCATTTCAGTCATCGCCCGTCACGAGACCCATTTGAATCAGAGTCAAAGTGAGTTGTATCACGTCAGTTGTCTCTGGAGAATCAGTTCACTGATCATGTAGTTTCCACGGTCTCCGCTAGGATCGCTTGGGAGCATGGCGCCCTAATTGGTGGCCACCGACAAAGAAAAATTAAAAAACCAAACGCTTGCATTTTTAGAGTCTCGCTCTGCTAAAGCAAGCTCGACTAATAAGCTTAAATACACACACGGAACACTTCAAAAACACAACAATTTGCTTTAATTGAAAAGAAGCTATTTTGGCCCTATAATGAAGAAGAAAATAACAAGACAACAAGAAAGAAAAGCTAACAGAATCATTACACTTGACGGTAGAAATGACAAAAGAATGTCCAATTATAACTTAAATCCCAGAAAACGTCACACAAACAAAGTCACTGCCGAAACCACAAAGCGGCTCTAAAAGAAAAACCTACCGACTCTCTGCAAAGATTCTTCATCCGTAGTTCAATTTAACAATTTATAGTTTGGAAGACAAAGGCAATTTTGCTGTTTATATTACGATAAAGATTGTCGAAATTAAATTTTTGAACTTCATTCAAGTATGCCAGGCATGCGATCCGTTGAATATCAAACGACAATCCTGCTAAAATTTCTTCTCGTACAGTGGGTATCTTCTTCATTTTTTTGTTAAGTTAATTAGAAGCAGTCTATGACGACAAAAGCAGAGAGAATCCGATCAAAGCATTTCCCTGCGATATGGTGAATATAATGCTTGAGATTTAGTTAAATTAACAAGGAATTTTTCTCTGTTTCACAATGCGTAACAAGAAAAAAAGAAACGGCTGGTACTGTTGAAAAAAGTGCTTCGAGCAATTAAAAGAAGGACTTACTATTTAAATTTTCATATTTGCTGGAGCGTATTCCGCTTATACTCTACGACCCTTGACAGCTGAAGACAACGTCTATTTCAATTCAAAAGTTTCTTCCTCATTGTATGTAAAGCTAACCGTTAGTCATTTTTGACAATTGAGTAAAAAGAAACAATATAGAAAAAAGGTTTTCTTCATTGAGCATAACGGAACACATCACGGCAAGTCCTAAAAGGCTAAATGTCTACTCCACCTGAAGTTTTAGCTTCCACCCATCTAGAATCCACCGCAGTTCCATTAAACCACAGACCTGGCTTCAATTTCGCGCAAAACATGGCCGCTGCAAGCGTATTTATTTACTTTCTTATATGATCGTGGCGACCACTTCTCACTGACGGTACACTGTCCTTCAGTTTGATTCGCTTTTTTTTCGAGCCTTACACTTTTAATAGAACGTCGCCAACGTGCGTGAGCTCAAATGTAAAGCATCAAAAACAAAGGAAAAGATTCCAATTTAATTTTACAGCCCCAGTTTTCATTTAGACTTTTTGGCTAGGAAAACTCGATAGTTTCGCGAGATCAGACAGTCGAGACCGGCTCACTTGCTTGGCAACTTATTATAGCAACTCAAGGGCGAAGCGCTAGGCAATTAATGGAGACGTCCGGTATTGATTTGATGCACTTGAAAACAACGAGAATTTTAAAGTTTCTCCCGTGTTGGCAAAATTAAATCTCCATTGGGTGTTCAATTATTTCTTTTAAATATCTACAGTCTTAACTTAACCTAACTTAAACCCGACTAAAAAAATTGCGTTCGTAACATAAGTTACATAGAACTTAAAAGTTCTCACGGCAGAAATTAAGAACTTAATTAAGAACCTACTTAGCCTAAATTATTAATAACTACTTCAAAATACAAGAACGGTTTTTGACTTCAAAAAAT